GAGAAACATGATCTGATTGCTGTCTAAGGTGGAAAAAGTCCACCCTGATACTGTTTTCAAAATCTAGTTATTACACATTCTATGCCCCCTGTTAGGTACCCAAGAAGCCCAGGCATGACACCCAGTGGCCTGACAGATTTGCCGCGGGAGGGGGTGGGGGCGGGAGACATTCAGAGGTCCCTCAGTGGGAGAGGTGGGTACAAATCCATGATGCAACCTCACAAGTACTAGGAGAGGGGAGCAGCTAATGTGGTCCATTTTCGTGAAATTTTTTTACACAGTTGCTGTATTTTTGCTTTTTATTTTCAACCTTTTGTCTCCCAAGACTCTTAGAAGGTTAAATAAAGTCCTTAGAATCTTTTAGCAGGTGTCTTGAAGTTCATTACCCGCCTGCCATTCTGCCCTGGAACGCTGGCCATTCTCAAAGGGTGAGGTCCTGGATTGCCCCACACAAATATGTGAAAGTTATGTGGCCTGAATCAGACCACGTAGCTCCCTCGACTTCCCTTTTCCATCACAATCAGAATTAATTGTTAAAGAAAGAAAAAAAAAATAAGCCAGAAAAAATGTTGTAGAACTGATATGCATGATCCATCCATATCCTTTTCAGGAACCCGTTTCATCTGAGTGACAATTTAAAGAAAAAGAGTGCCTGACTCTTGCATGCTGGCCTCGTAGCAGTTCTTCACTTAGATTACCTTTCTCGTCCTCTCACATCTCTGTTGATAAATGGCCAGACGTCATCATCCCCATTTTACAATTGAGGCATTGAGAGGTTAAGTGCTTGACCATTGCCAGCCACCCAGATGAGAGCAGGACTCAGGTCTCCTGTCCAGATCTGAGGTTCATTTTGCTGCCTCCTTATGGCCAAATTGCTACCTCAGTAACTACCCTTGGCCTTCATTCCCTTGGCTGTAAAAAATAGGGTCATACCATATCTATAAACGATGGTCGCTCTTAGAGCTAAGATTTTATTATCTCAGGAAGCAGATCCCTGAATGCTTTTGGCATTAAAATGCTTTATACATTTAGCAAAAAGGAAAAAGAAAAAAAAACTAGAAAAGAGTCATCTAACAGGGGGTGGACTGGCTGTTGGTGAACTCTGTTCTAAGAAGCAGTGGGAAACTATGAGTCATCCCCGACCTCTGATGTGACTTTAGCAGATGAATCTGAAGGCAAAAAAAAATGTTTCCAGATCCACTTTGACTCAGAACAATGTTGGACAATTTTTCTAAGTTTGTTTTCTTTAATGGCGTTTTTTTGATTTAACTATGGGTCATTTTTCTCCCATTGCTTCACATCTATTTTTAATTGATTGAAATTATTCATCACCCTCAGAAACTTGTGAATATTTTTTTCTATCACAAATGTAAATTGTTTAGAAATTATTCTGATTTATGATGTTCGGTGAGGAAAATCCATAGCCATGCTTGGATGCTCTAGATTTAGGTTTTCATGCTTTAATAGAAACTCGGAGAGAGGCTGAAACAGTGAGATTAGCATGCCATTTCCCTCCCCGCTACTTGGTACACAACGGATATCAGGAAATGTTGCAGTGGTTACTATAGGAAGGCACATTTTAGACAATTCATTTTCTGAGCCTCGGAGAATCTTAAAAAAAAAAAACAACTATGCCAGTATTCACACATTTTGATCTACAAAAACATCAGAGTTTTTGCCTGTATTTCCTAGTTATCATATTCTGAAAAGATTTACTGCTATGTCTTTACTTCTAACACTGTGCCTGGCATACAACTGTTGCTTAATCAATGCTGATTGAGTATAGAATATATTTGTGTGCTATCTAGGACACAAGAGCAGTCTTATTCTTTAACATGAACAAAGATTTTTCCTATTTGATGAGTATGGTGCTATTGGATTAAAAGCCTCCTAGGGAAAGTTTCAAGTACATTTATGCCCTTGAGCCTCTTCCTCACCTTTTCTAACCAGAGAGTACCAGGCAGGAAGAATTGCCAAGGGGAGGACAGTCCTGTCCAAGCAGATTCCCTTCCCAGTCATAGATGTAAAGTGACAAGAATGGCCTTCTTGTGTGTCAGGACACCTGTTTGGCCTTACCTACAAGTAATTCAAATGCCAAAAATTATTACTCTGAGTGTGGAAACAGGCTGTGAATGCACATTCACACATTCAAGCTATGATTATACTTAAAGTGCTTCCTGATGGTGATATTTAATTCTAAAAATGGGGAAGTCTGCAGTTCGCCTTCTAAATCTAACATTACAATCGTTTTGGGTTATTTTTATAGTCAACTAAATGAAAAAGCATAATCGGATGAGGTAGTAAATGTATTCCAAATTTCTAGAAGCAAGTGTGTTTTCTTCATGTTCCATTCTAGAATTGGATATGTGTGAACTAACATTTTTTTGTGAAGTTTATGATGTTCTAGAGAGGAAAAGACTTGGCAACACAAATTTGCTTAGAAAAACGAGCTATTAATACATTGACAAGCTACATGAAACTTTAGCAAATCAAAAAAGAAGACATGTTTGAATACTGTGAAAATGTTTGTGATAACGAATCTGCATTTTAAAGGGATTTGTTAGTAGAGTAGTGTCAGTCTTGTCCCAGTGGAAAAGGCCAAATTATAGTTTGATTTCTGGGTTATTTTGTATTTTGTTGTCATTGTTGTTATTTTGCTAAACAGAAGCATTTAAATTTGATAATGTTTACTCTTGAGAAGCTAGATGTGCACTTTTATCTAGTGTAAATGATTTCAGTTCTGTCCCATAATGTATCTGGGCACATATTCAAGCCTCAGTGTTTCATAATCTTTACTAGGGTCATTTCTTAACAGTCCAGCCTTTACTACTACAAGAAACTATGTAAACACATTTAGCCATTTTCTTGTTTCAGGATGTAATTTCTATACCTTGCTATGGGTAAAACGTTACACAGGGTATCATATGTTAATTTAAACTTCTCGCTTGTTAACCAGTAATACAATTTCATATTTGGGAACCAAACTCAGCTCTTTATGCTACGTGTATCAGTTAATATTATACCTTTTCCCTAATATTTAAAAATACATGAAAATCTGAGGTACCTTAGCTTTTGCTTTCTTCTTACCTTTTATGAGAAAAGGTTACAAATATGTTATTATGGGACTTTCGTCTCTCCTTAGGTTTTTTTTCTTTCTTGTAAGGTTTGGTCAGGTGTTGGAGGAGGGAAAAGAAATTGTGGGTCTATTCTTTCATATCAATATAAGATCAACCCTTGGCTGCTTGTGCTTTAGGTTAGCTCTTTTCTGTCTTTTATTTGGGGGACTTCATTTCTGCAGTGCAGTATTATTTAAAATTGAAGAAAAAAATGAATAACAGTGAAACATAGAAAAAGAACTCAAAGTGGGGGAAATGGAACATGCAAACAGGTTAACTGTGTCATTTAATACTATTGTAAATTTCTGTCATTGCTGAAAAGAAATTTAAATTCATTTCAATACCTAGAGAAGTATTTAATTATTCAAAACTTTATTCATGTGACTATAAATGAGAGTTCTTGTTGGTATAGAATTTCTCAGAATAGGTCCAAGAACTTACTTCCCCACCTGTATATCATTTCCAGAATAATATTCTTAAAACATTTAACCTTCATACTAGAACACTAATTTAAGGACATACTTTAGATAACAACATCGCCACTCTCCAGTAAGTTTCCTTGGACAGATAGTATCTGAGAATATAACTCCTTCTAATAAAAACTTAAAGTTCCAATCATCTGTCTCTGTGTAGTGGGTAATTTTCCAGCTGTAGAAGTGATCAAAATGTTCAGATTTATTTTCTTCCTTTTTTTAATTTTTAAAAATGGATGTTGATTGCAGTGAATATGTTTTTAATGTTTATGGAATATATGGATAGCATGTGTGATACAGGTATGTAGATGGATTGATGATACCATCTTAGAGAGTAAAACTCCAAGAAAATGACTATAATGTCCAAATCAATTTTATTCTATATGAAATCCTTCAGACTTCTACTCAATTCTATTTTTCATCTTCAAATAATTTTCTTTTCTATTGCAAACACTTGCCTGATATCTTTAAGCAATTTGGTTTTGGAAGTTATGTAGAGAAATCATTATCTTTTAAAACTTCATATGTTCACTTTTCATTGAGGGGGGGGTGTTTAATTCTCTCTCACTGAATTATACACAGTAGAAGATATTATTGGGGAAATTTTCTAAATCTGCCTTTTTTGGCAAATCAGTATAGCATAATGGCTAAGATCCAGATACTGGAACCTTAATGCACTGGCACGATATTTGCTAAATATGCAATCTTGCTAAAATTATTTAATCTTTCTGTGCCTCAATTTCTTCCTCTATAAAATCAGCTATCTTACTCTACATTTGTAGGGTAAAATTATTATCCCTAGGATTGCTGTGAGAAACGAGTTAATATATGTAAAGTACTTAAAACAGAACTCATGGTAAATGCTGGTTTGTAATACAATTATTCATAGTTATCATTAAATTAAGTCTTGCTGGAAACACCCAACAGCAGAAAAATACATCAAAGCAGAAAAATTTCTGTGTATATTGTAAGCTATTCTTTTGCCATGTATATTAACACATTAAGAAAAAGATCAATAGCATTGACTAGAAAGAAAAGACCACAGTTATTGCGAAATCTCGGTTAATAATGCATTTTTCATTTGCTGGGTTCAATCCAAGTCTGACCTTCTTATGAAGAAGTTTCATCACTAAAAATGCTTTAATGGGGCTGCTGTAATTGTATAGTTAATGTAAGTTTTTAAAAGTTCGATAAATTCCATGAGTGATTTTGCTTCTAAGAGTGACATTATTCTCTCATGTTAGGTTAAGAGCAACACTTCAGTTGCCACTTGATTCAAAGAAGAAGAATATTTGGTTTCCTTTACATTCCAAGGGAAATGTTTGCTTTGGGAGGAGCCGCCACTCRGGCATCAAGGCTTGCAGATGTAAAGATATCTTATTCATCGTGTCTTCATTGATTTGCTTTGCAGCTGGCAGTTCCCCACAATGATGAATGGACGAGATTCGCCAGGACCCTGGTGGAGATTCGCGCTAACAGAGCTGATAGCGAGGAGGAAGGCGCTGTTGAGTTATCTGCCTAATGGGTTTGAGCCGGCTTCAGCGCATCCGTTTCCCCTGCTAGAGAGTTCAGCATCTGCAGTCAAGCCCATTGTACTGTATCCGTGTCCATTCAGTATCAGTATTGCTGTGATATTTTGGGTGCCATATTGTGCCAGCTTTGCTCCAAGTATTCCAAATGTATCCCACCATGATTTCCACTGACCTGAAATTCACCAGAGCATTTCTACCTTTATATTTCTGTCTCAAAAATGAAGGGGGTGAGGGATCTTTACGGGTTTAGTTGTTGCCTTTTAACTACTTAGTAGCTGTATTTAATAGCTGGAAACCTCTGGTTAAATTTGTGCTTACATGCACTTCTGGCATAGTCCTATTAAATCCATATGAAGCCAGATATGATTGGGTGCAGATGTGGTGTGCCTCATGATATGGTACAGGGCCAAAGACTTGAGATGTGGTGTTTTACATGGTGACTCACATTATGAATGGATTTACTAGAAGAACATTGCTGCTCCTTATTTATTGTAGTGTGCTGCATGGAACATATTTATTTGAAAGCATTAAAATAAACGATCCTAGAGCATGTGCATAATGAGAGGACTGTATTCTCTCTGCTGCTGTTGAGGTTACATTAAGTTCCAAATAACAATTACAGTATGCCAGTTCCACTGAAAACACGAAGTCTTTAGAGGTTTGTTGTAGTGAACGGAATGGATTTTAATGCCTATTATTTCTAGGTACTTTAACAATATTTCAAATATAGTTGACCATTGATACTTGTCATTCAAGCTAATACAGTCCAACAAAAGTCTGTGGTTCCTAAATATGACATCAGTATTGCCAATAAAATGTTCTAAAGCAGGTCTGCACCAGTGTGGGTAAATCCTTGGCTTGGGGAAAGGCTGACTTGAATTCTCTGGTGACAAGGGTTGGGAATGATACATTAGGGCCATGTTAAAGATTGATCATGAGTTTATAGGCAGCCGACCTGGCTGGTCAGAAACGTAGACTCCCAGTTTTACTTTTATGAGGGAATGTGTGTGGTTTTGGGGGAGGCTCTCCCTTGTCCCCATCACCAAAGTCACCCTTGTCCAAAGACAATTTCAAACAGTGGAATAAGATGAGTTAAGATTAATACCAAATGTTCCACATATTTCTCTTATTTAAAAAATTCACACTAGAAAATGATGTTTATTACTATTGAACTAGGAATTATGTCTAAAAATTACTTTTTTTTTTTTCAAAAGGTCACTTCATGCCTAGAGAGAATGAAATTAAATAGTGGCTAAACATTTGAAGATAGGGTTTCAGCATTTTAGGAAGAAAGTTTTCATTGGTATTTCGTTTGTAGGGATTCCTTGAACTAAAATTTCTTTTATTTTCAAAATCATGATACACTTTTCACAAAGTGCTCCACAGCATCTACATATTTAAATTTTTCATAAACGAAAAATGAAATTTTGTGAATAAAAAATGAGTGTCTAGGCTGGGACTATATAGCTCAATGGTAGAGCGCTTGCCTAGCACGTGTGAGGCACATGCGAGGGTTCAATCCTCAGCACCACATACAATAAAAAAATAAATAAATTATTAATTAATTAAAGATATTGTGTCCATCTACATCTAAAAGTATTTTTAAAAAAGCGAGTGTCTAAAATAGGTTTTAAAGCAATCTAATGAAAAGTGTTGCATACAATTTCTCAAATATATATTAAAATACCTAAGAATAAATCCAAGGCCTGTGAGTTGTCTCTGTGGACCACACTCTGAATGATATTTCAATGAGAGAAGCCTGCGAAACCTACAAAGACCAGAGTCACTTTTAGGAGGCACACGAAATGCAACAAGCCTTTATGTGCTTCTATATCCCACTGGGTAGCTAGTCTCCAGGATGCTTCCTCAGGCTTTGCCCCTCAGATCCCACCGTGACCAGGGGCTGACCTTGTATAACTGATAGGACATGGGGTAAGGGATGCTACGTGGTTTTCAGAATGTCTTAGCCAGTTGGGGCTTAGATGACATCGCTTGAACAATCAAAATTTATTTCTCACAGTTCTGGAACTGGGGAAGTTCAATATCAAGGCACCAACAGATCCAGTTATTGGCAAAGACCTTCTTCCTGGTTTGCACCGCACATGGCATCTTCTCATTGTATGAGTAGAGAGCTCATCTTTCACATCTTATCAGGGCACAAATCTCATTCATGGGGGCTCCACCCCCACGACCAATTCCCTCCCAAAGGCTCTGCCTCCAGAAACCATTTCTCTGGGGATTTAGGCTGTGAATTGAGGCATCGGTGAGGGACATAAACAGCACAGGGCAAGGTTGAAGGGGACTTAGTGCTTCCTTCCAGCTTGCTTGGCACACTCACTCTCGATCCAGCTCACAGCCATTGAAGTCATCCCAGCTGATGGCTCAGATGAAATGTGGTGACCTTGAAAATGAGTCTCTCAGATCTGTTGCAGAGAATGTAATTGATGAACAACTCAAACTGCTTTATTCTGAAATCTCTCACCATGAATTTCATGACCAAGACCATGCTTCCTCTCACAGGCTTCCAGCTACGGCAGTGTGAGAGGGAAATTCAAGTGGGGCCTGTACCAGGAAGACATGAGACTTCTCTGATGTGTCATTAGCCCAAGGATTCCCTGTCAGCACAGCTAAAACTTTCTTAGAACTGTGCAGTAATTTGAAACTATGTGTAAGTTTTTTCCTTCCTTATTCAGCATCTCTGGGAGTGGTGGTTTCCTCTGCAAGGCCAGGGCTGATGGGAGGTGACACAGTTATTAAAATCCATGAGGACAAAAGGAACTCAGAGTAACAGTGGATGGTAATGGCAGTTAACAAGCAGAAGTCAGGAAGCCACCATCGCTGTAATGGGGAACGAGGTCAGAGGAGCAGCCAAGGAGGCTTTTCCCATAGGATGTTGTGGGAATAATTAATAAGACATGGCATGCTTAGGGGAAAATATGCAGGGAAAAGGGTGTTGATGTCTGCCATGGAAACCATGAAGGCAAGATTGAAGGAACAGGAGGCTGAAGGCAGAATTCTGTGCTTATTACACAGACCTGAACAATATTTCAGGCTAGAACCTATTGACTGAGAGGAGCTAGGCTAGAAAGAAGGACACCATTGCAAATATATATTATGATGACACCCCCCCCTCCAAGTCCTTCTCCAAAGGGTGCTATGGCCATTTATTGATGTGAACATACAATAGAGTTGAGAAAAAAACAGATATCAATGAGTCCCCAATTCTACATTGGATATGGAATCTGAGTGCACATTGAAACTCTAGAGTGGTGGCTTATGGTGACCAGGTAATATAATGGAGCAGTTACAAGTATGGGGGTCACCATGGCCCCACAGGGTAGATAGACTCAGTGATGGTCATTTCCCGAATCCTTGAGGGGCCAATTGAAATTGATATGACTGCAGGAGTTTGGGGCCTTTGGGGCTAGAACTCTCACAGGAGAGAAGGCTACTTGAAGATCTCTGAAACTGCCATGCCCCCACTTCCCCTGGTGAAGAAAGAAAGTAAAAAGTATTACATCTCAGGGTCTGAGGAAGAGGATGGCAGACATTAGTGCCACTCTAAGTACCTAAAAGATGTAGATTAGTGGTCCCTAGAATACATATAGTTAAATACACCAGTCTAGCCCTTCAGAAACTGAGTACCATAAGCTCAACCAAGCAATATCTGTGTTTGCAGCTGCTGCTCCAGATGTGCTATCATTCTTAGAATAGATGGATAATTAATTTACAAATTAATGTTTCTCTAGTATATGGTCTGTGGCCATGGACGAATATATTCTTTTCCATGACAACTATATAAAAAGAAATCGTTTGCACTCACATGGAAAGAACAATATTCATTTTCAGTTTTGCCTCAAGGATATGCCAGTCTCTCCTCTTCTGCCGTAGAGTTCTGAACTACCTCACATTCAGAGTACATTACACTGCTGCATGCATCAATTGCACCACAGTAATCAGGTAGGATATGCAAAAGTTACCTAATGCACCAGAAATCTTGGTAAGAGGTATGTGCTCTAGAGAGTGGAAAATGAATTTGAGGATGATTTAGGGACCTGTTACTTCAGTGAAGTTTTTTGGAATCCCACCATCCCTAATGGTTATGAGCATGCTGAGATATCTCCTCCAAAGTCAAACTGCTGCAGGTTAGAATTCTCAACACAGAAGAAAGAACAGCACCCAGTAGGACTTCTTGGATTCTGGAGTCAACACCTTCCATGTCTAAGGTTACTGCTGTAGCTTTGGGGGAATGGGAAAGGAATTTTCTGCAAGTGCAAACTGTAGCACAAAGAGCTCTATTGCTTGGGCAACGCAACCAATGGGTGTCATGGAACTGGAAGTGTCAATGGTGAGAAAAGATGTAATATGGAAATTACAAGTGGCCTATGGGATTCGGGAGGAAGGCTTTGCCATCCAATACAAAAATAGTAGGTAGCCCTCCTTTCACTAGGTCCTGGTACAAATTGAGTCCCTCACAACAGGATATGAAATTACCACACATCCAAATGACCCATTATAAGTTGGTCATGTTAGCACCACCAACTGACAAAATTGGGCAGACCTAGAAGAAACCCCTTTGTAATATGGAAATTGTATTTTGAGAGGTACATCTGAACAGAACCAGAGAGATGAATTAGTTGCATGACAAGATAGTCCAGAAGCCCACTAAATGCCACTAACCAGAATTTTACCAGCCCCCCCCATAAATTGTTCATATGTGAGGAGGGCAGGTTCTGTATGACCAGACAAAAGAAGAGGTAAGGGTCAGAGTTTGGTTTACAAATGGGTTGGCGAAAAATTATACTCCATTTATATATGATGTATCAAAGTGCATTCTACCTTCATGTATAATTAAAACAAATTTAAATTTTTTTTAAAAAATGGGTTGGATCAGTTTGTGGTGAAAGTTCAAAATGGATGAAGGCTACATTATACCCACATTCAGGAGTGGCTTGAAAGATAGTAAAGAGGCCCAATCTTCTCAGTGAACAGATCTTTGCATTGTGCACCCCAGTCATCCACTTTGCATGAGAGAAGAGATGGCCCAGAAGTGAGAACATTCACATATTACCAGGCTAGCCCAAACTGTCATCTGTCTAATAGTTCTTGTGAGATAGCCTCCTCACTGGTCTCTCTCTGCTTCCTCCTTTCACTCCTCCAGTCCCTCGTGGATAGAGTCACCTGAGTGACGCTGGTAGACGCTGAATTCCTCTGCTCAAAACACGCAGGTGCCTTTCACATCGCTTGCAGTAAAGTCAAATCCTTTTAATGGCCTGCAGTCCCAGTATGGTTTGACCTTAACTCCGATCTTGTATCTTAGCTCTCTAATCTTAACTACCTGGGTCTTCTCACGCTTCCTTTGATACACCAAGCACATCCAATCACAGGGCCTCTGCACTAATTGTTTCTTCTATCTGGAATGCTGAAAGCATTGAGTTTATGAATCTTCATGCATGTATTTCAAAATTCCACCCTTTAATATAACGAAGGTCATTCCTCTGACTGATTTTTCAATTAACTTTTTAATCTGTGAAAGCAGCAAGCTGCTTGAAGGCCTAAGGTCAATGTCAGTATGAAAAAGCTGTAGTTTAAAACGGCAGTACCAACCACAAAAACAACAGGGGATGAGCTTAAAAACCTCTGACGATCCCCAGCAGGAAAAGCACGTAGAGAATTAAAAATTATAGGTAGAATTAAAATGAGAAAAAGTATGTTTTATGTTTTTTAGTGGGATATGATTTACATACACTAAATGCACAAATAATGTTTGCTGGTCAAGTTTAACAACTTTGTATACTCACGTAACCATCACATAAAACAAGATA